TGGTTGTGGGGACGCACTGGTCGGACGTGTAGCCGCCGCAGTCGTCCGCGTCGGCGGGCACGGGCGAGCTCGGCAAGCTCGGGTAGCGCGGCCGGCAGCGCGGGCACCGCCGCCGCCGCCGACTCCGGCCGCGCGACCGGCTCAGCGTCGCAGCCGCGGTGCCGCCCGACCGGACTCGGCGGGCTGCAGGTGGACTCGGACCGGTCGGAGAAGGGCGGCGAGCGCCGCGCCGCCGACGGCGGGCCGCGTCGCGGCAGCGTGCAGTAGCCGCCGACGGCGCTGCGCTCCTCTGCCACTCGGGCCGCGCAGCCCGGCCGCCGGAGCCGCCGCGAAGGCTGCCGCCGGTGCGACGGCGCGGGGCCGCGCCGGCCGCGGGCCGGCCTCCTCCGGAGCCGTACACCTGCCGGCGGCCATCGATCGCCCGGCAGGCCCCAGTGGGCCGCCGGGCCGGGGCCGGACGCCGCCCGGCCGGCCGGCTCTGGCCGGGCCGCCGCCGGCCGCACGGCGTCCTGCGCCGGCGGCGGCGGACGCTGGGTCGTGCCCGTTGGCCGCACCCGCGTCGCCGTCGCCGCCGCCGCCGTCGCCGTCGCCGTCGCCGGTCGGGGCAGGCTCGGCACCCGACCGGGCGCCGGCGGGCCGCCGTTTGCCAGCCGCCCGCCGCCGCCGGGCTTGTGGCTGGACTCTGGCGGCGCCGCAGGCGGCCTGGCAGGCGTCGGCGGTCGACGCGCCCGCGTGCACAACAGACACACGCAAATACAGACGGCCAGACTGAGCAGCAGGCCGACGACGAGCGCGCCCAGCAGCAGGCCGCGGTCCAGCTTCAGCGTCAGGTGCGTAACGCCCTCCCGTTCCGTCACGCTGACCGTGACGGGCCGCGTGACGCGGCCTGCCGAGTTGCGCGCCTCGCAGATGTAGCGGCCGGCGGCGGCGGCGCGCACCGCCTGGATGGTCAGCATGCTGGTTTTCTCCTCGCGGCCGTGGTGAAACACGTGGAAGCTCGTGCCGGCCGGGCGCATGGCCGAGCCGTTGGCGATGACGCGGCCGCGCCACAGCCAGCTGACGTCGGCTGCCGGCGAGGCGCTTACCGAGCACGAAAGCGTCACGTTGTCGCCGGCCCAGGCCTGGTGGCGGCGCGCGCCCTGTCGGATGACCGGCGGACACGAGAACTGGCCCAGCCGGACGGTGCCGAACGGCGCGTCCCGCAGCCGCAGCGGCTCGGCGCAGCGCGGCTCCTCGGCGTGCGAGGGTCGCGTCCTCTCCAGCCAGCGCTTCAGCGGCCGCACCCGGCAGTCGCACGACCACGTGTTGCCGTGCAGGTGGAGCTCGCGCACGCTCGCCAGCGGCGTCAGGCTGTCAGCAGGCAGCGTGGTGAGCCGGTTGTTGTCCAGCCGCAGCCACTGGAGCCGGCCGAGACCGACAAACGCGTCCGCGTGCACGGTGGCCAGCTGGCAGCCGTTCAGCTCCAGCCGCTCCAGCTCGGCCAGGCCGGAGAACGCGTCAGCCGCCAGGCGCGTGATCAAGTTGTTGCCTAGCCGCAGCTCGCGCAGGCCGACCAGCCGCTTCAGCGAGTCGGACGGCACCAGCAGCAGCAGGTTGCGGCTCAAGTCCAGCTGCACCAGGTTCGCCAGGCCGGCGAAGGCGCGCTGGTCGATGTGGCCGAGCCGGCAGGCGGCCAGCGAGAGCCGCTGCAGGTGGAGCAGACCCCGGCGGCTGAACGTGTCCGCCGTCAGCACCTGCAGCCGGTTGCCGTCCAGCCGGAGCACCTGCGTGCCGGCGTCGAGCCCGGACGGCACCTCCACCAGCGACGCGTTGACACACAGCGCCGCCTCCTTGCCGTCACGCCACTTGCACTCGCAGACGTGCCCCGGGCAGCCGCCGCCGCCCGGCGGCAGGCACAGCAGCACGCAAGCGGCAGCCAGAGCGGCGGCGCGGCGCGGCGGGGGCAGCGCGGAGTCGGCGATGGCCGGCCATAGGCGCACGGGGCTCGTGCTCATGGCGACTCCCGCGGGCGCCCGTGCTGCACGCCAGGCGGGCGCGGTCATCAATGCCGGCGGCACGCCAGCCTCGCCCGGCGACCCTGCCGGCAGGGAGCGTCGATGAGAGTAGTGCCGCCGTGCGCGCGCGCGCAGCGGAACATACATCCAACGAGGAGATGTATGGTCAGCAATCCTTCGACTGTGAGTGGCCGGTCAGCGATGGGGTGCCGGAACTGGCTGTGCTACTGGAAATGCGCACCCTCTGTGCATCCTTTAGACTACTGAATTATTGGGCACAGCTCCTCGCCCAGGTTTGAAAGCGACGGGCCTACTAAAAGGCGTCCAAGTCTGCTTTCCTGAGCGCCAGTAGAAATGTAGGCTTCGCAATGTCATCAACCCCTGTAAATCCAGAATAACGTTACGGAAGGGTCATATACAATATATATATATATATATATATATATATATATATATATATATATATATATATATATATATGTGGTTGTGTGTGTGTGTGTGTGTGTGTGTGTGTGTGTGTGTGTGTGTGTGTGTGTGTGTGGTGTGTGTGTGTGTGTGTGTGGTGTGTGTGTGTGTGTGTGTGTGTGTGTGTGTGTGTGTGTGTGTGTGTGTGTGTGTGTGTGTGTGTGTGTGTGTGTGTGTGTGTGTGTGTGTGTGTGTGTGTGTGTGTGGTGTGTGTTGTGTGTGTGTGTGTGTGTGTGTGTGTGTGGTGTGTGTTGCCAAAGCTTGCAAAAATGCTACAGAATGAATAGAAAATGCCAGCAAAACGGAACATTGCATATTTAGCAGGTGAGCACGCTGCAACTTGCTGCATGCTTGGCTAAAACTTTATTTTTGTGCGGGGTAGGCCCAGTCCGTTGATGGGTATGTTCATGTTGATCGGTATTGGGCACAGCCGACGTTTTTCCATGTATCTTTGTCGAAAACGAGCAACAAACTATCAATCTTGAGTTATGTTTTCAGCCCAGCAAATGGCAAACAGCCGGGGGTACTTGGCACATTCGCACCCTTGATTCTGGCCGCAACACGTTGTACCCAACGCTGCACAGCTGGAACCATGGCACTGCCGTATATTCACCTCCCCGGCGTATGCTGAAGGCAAAATTCGCAGCTGCACTTCGTTTGATTTCCCAGCGCGCATGGGAACGGTGTTCCAAATTATGCAAGTAGATTTGCAAGAGTTTCTGTCTACGGGAACTGCCTGAATGTGAGAACACGTTTTTGAACAGTTTTGAACTGTTGATGCGCTACCCTTGCTGTAGGTGGACGAATTCGTTTTTCTCAAATCTGCACGAGAATGGATGCCCCTGACGGTTCACACACGAAGTTAAATTTGAATTTGTGAATTCAAATTTACCCAAATGCGGTCTAAAAACAGAGTCGCTAAGTGCTTTGAAGGTTTATGTTACAAAAGTTGTATTGAACTATTGTATATCTCATAAGAAGTCGCTTATACACTCCACCCTTGAAGTGTCTCAACATCCTATAAACTTTACTCGAAATACCTTTGTCGGCACACCTAATTCGTGTGAAGCATTTAATCTCCATGAAGATGACGTACCGGCCCTCTGTGTATTTCATGGCAGCGAATAGCCATCACACTTAACATTTTCCCAAGGATGTCACTTATTTCCAATATGACGCCACCTCTTCTAAAGTCCAGTGAGTTCAAGTAGCTTGGTCGGCGGCATTTACAACGTACGAGGTGCCAACCAAAAATCAATTGCGTGCATGGTTTTTTGCCCTGACCTGGCATGTGGACCAAAACAAAGAATCTGTCAAGGCTCGATGAAGTGATTGGTACCCATACGATAGTAAGCAATGTCATCACAATGTCTTCGCAAACAACGCTTGCATACGGAAGACGGTGTTTGTCAACTGCGTAGTGACTGACTGGAAGTACAGTCCCTTGCGTGACTTAACGACTGCCTCTGAGACTAAGTGGCACGTGCGCTCGCCGGCAGCAGCCGACAGCGACCCTGCGGGGCTGCCACCGGCCGTCCTATCATTACGACTCATTTCCTTCACATTCCACATCAATAAATCAATGCGACATGCCACGACTGCAGATCAGCACAACACGACAACCCCCGCATTAGCTATTCATGATACCGGGCCGAGTCGGCCAATGCGCGGCACCGGTCCGGTCGCGCCGACTTCGCTGTGAGTTAGTCCGGAGCGACGTGCGGCGATTTTAGCGGGGTCCCGCCCGGCACTGCAGACGCCCCACCTGGCGCGTTCCCTCGGGTTTTGGCGCGCCCGAGCTGACTGAGTCGCTGTTAGTCGATCGTCCACCCATTCAGCGATCTAATGTGCCCATGATGGGCTTCGTGTGTCCGTGGTGGGCTTCGCGTGTCCGTGGTGGGTCGAGTGTGTCCGTGGTGGGCTGAGTTGCCCGCGGTGGGCCAAGTGTGGCCATGGTGGGCCGGGTGTGCCCGTGATGGGCTGAGTGTGTCCGTAGTGGGCCGAGTGTGCCCGTGGTGGGCCGGGTGTGTCCGTGGTGGGTCGGGTGTGTCCGTGGTAGGCCGAGTGTGTCCGTGGTGGTGCGGGTGTGACCGTGATGGGCCGTGTGTGCCCGTGGTGGGCCGGGTGTGTCCGTTGCAGGCCGAGTGTGTCCGTGGTGGGCCGGGTGTGTCCGTGGTGATGCGGGTGTGTTAGTTCACCAGTCAGCCTCATGTGTACTCACCATCGAGTGCGTCGAGTACGTCCCCGGTGGGTCGACCGTGTGCGTGTTCCTGCGAGCCGAACCATCCCTGGCAAGCGTGCTGTTTCCCACGGAAGCCGAGCCCCTGGCGCTTGAGTGCCCGTCCAGCCGACTGCGTCCGTGCGTCTCCGAGTCGAGTCGTCATGTCGTCGAGTCGAGTTGAGTCGAGTCGTCCTGTCGTCGAGTCGAGTCGAGTGAGTCTGCGTGCGTCTCCGCGGCCCATGTGTCCCCAGCTGGTCGGACGCGCGGCCGTGCTCCGGTGCTTCGTAGTTGTGCTCCAGCGAACGGAGAACTGAGCCGACGTCGTCCGAGTCCGGCCTCGGCCAGAGGCGCCGGACCCGTGCGGGTCTGCTTTCTCATGACGCTCTTGCGTCACGCCCCGCGGGCCGCCATTGACGTGTTAGTTGCATCCGACTGCAGCTTACACTGATCTGCTTCGTTTCCACACGCTCCGTGATCTCTGCGCTGGGAAACTGTGGGCTGATTCGGTCGCATATTTCATTTTGTGGCCGCGTTTCACACGAAGCATTTGCGGGCGTCATCAATTGTGAAACCGAGCCCGCGATAGTGGGGGTGACAGGCGGACAGTCAGCGGACGGTCCCGGCCTTTGTCTGACGGCTATAGCGCGGATCATCATTTGTGTCTGCAGGTGCCACGCTTGATTATTTCCCGCCAGGTAAAATGGGGGAATGTGAGGTACTCCTCGTTACTGGAACATTTGATGCGTCGCTTAGAATCCGTGCCGTTAGTGGTATGCGTAGGCAGTAGATGACAATGCGGTGCACGCGTTTTTTCATTGCAGATATCTTTGGCATGTCTCCATCATTTGATTCGACGATTAATTGTGATGCATCTGCTCTTTATAGTTTTAAACTCCCTTAACTATAGGGTGCATAACTTGTTGGCCATAGTGCAGTCGGACCAAGGACCATAGAAAGGACCGCACCGAGGATTGCGGCACGCTGAGTTTTCGACGCAAAAATCTTCCGTTGACCGGATTTTCACAGTCGGATGGCGGGCTCAGGATTCGCGCAATAAGCGCCGTTTGGCGTGGGCGCTATTTCCAGAAATATATCCAGCCTAAGCGTTCGGGCTAAATATCAAAACCGTCAAAGGCGGGCTTCGCGCCCTCCATGCTCTGTCGCTAACGACTGTGACCGATAAATGTTGCTTAAGCATGCGACCTGTTTGGTGCGTCCAGCCCCTCACTCGGGGACACGTCGTTAGGCGGCGCCGCCCCCGGGACACCGCTTTGTTTCCCCCTGCCCGACCTCGCTCCTTTCCGCTCGGGTAAAACTCAGACGGGCCATCCCATGCAAGCGCGCTCTAAATCACGCCGCAAGCCTCCGTGGTGTATTGATTCCTCGGGGCCGGTTATTTCGGCGGAAATGGTGGGGAAGCTCGCCGATAACGGCTGACGATGACGGGCTATTTAACCACAACTCGGCACGGCACCTCCGCGCGGGAGAAATGGCACCGCGCTGACGAGAGCTCCGCCCCGGACGCGGCCCAGACCCGGTCCGGGAGGACGGCGCCTACCATCGCATGCGTGCCGTGACGCATGTGTGGTCTGTTGCATGCCGGCACGCAGCCGGGTCCATGCCACACTCGCATATGGCCCTGACGAATGGAGTCCTGCTCCGCGACCAAATGGTTTAAGTACGGGGTAGACCTGTGAGTGATGAGACCATTTGTCGTGGTGGAGGCCTAGTTGGCACCCCCCCTTAACGAGGGGTGAGGCCTCGGGAACTCTACCGTAACCTGCGATGCGCCTCCGAAGGCGTAACCCTGCCTAAAGCTTATATGCACTGATATCAAAACCCCCAATCATGCCACAATCCCACAGGGCCTGCTCCGCGCTGCGTGCCATGATTAATGAAACTCCGAGTTTAATTTTCGTTTAGACGAGTGGCAACAAAGTAATGATGGCACGTGCATTTCAAAACATTACGCAATTGCACTGGTGCTGAAAGGAGCCTTCACCACTGCAACATGTATTCCATTTTCAGCGCGTACCATAACAACCGACCGATACCACTGGCTGAATGGAATCGCTGTCTGTTAGTTACGCCGGAAACGGCCACCGGCGTGTGATATTACGACACCAATGAATGAACGATGGTGCCAGTTAATGAATAATCCCATGATCAT